AGGTTCTTAGCTTAGGAACATAATTCCAAGCTAAGGAAAAATTCGGTAGGTCTTTGGACAAAGAGGTAAAATTGATTATAAATGTTTTAGAATCAGAGACTGTTTTCTAAACTTTTTATTGTGCTTGATTTCAACTTATCTTACCCACTTACAGAAAATGACTCTTTCCTCAATTAGGAATATTACTTTGGGATTACAAGTTCTGAGGAATGTGTGACATGATAGCTCTGAAATTTGAAGTTGACTCACAAATTTTGGGTGGATAGAAATTTTATTTACTTAGGGAGGTACCAGAGTTGTAACATTCCTTTGGTAAACATGAAGAATATTTAAGATGTTTGGTTTGTTTTTTGGTTTATGCTTCCGGTATGCACATGATTTGATTCTTCTCCTCGCTATGATTTTAGGATATATTAATATTCATGGGAATGACACATCCATTTACCTAGCCTGCACTTCCTTGGCTTCTTAAATTCTTGTGACTTTCACCTTCACTCACTTCCACAATGCGTTTCTACTGTCACTCAGAAAAACTCTCTCTGAAATCATAAATGCTAATAACTTGTTTTCTGACCATAATCTCTTGAATGTTCATTCCATCTGTTCTTTGTCAAAATTAACATGCCGTTGCCCCTTCTCTTTTCACACAGTTTCAACCATTTTCTAGCCATCATTCAACTCGTTTTGTCTGTGGTATTTCAGGCATACCTATTAATTAGGCATTTCTATTATGCCTAATTATATGCAGGCATTTCTTTTCTCTGATTGGGGCTGTTGATTACCACTAGATAAAACCAGCCACGGGGAATTCATGAGTCTTTAATATCACTTGGGCCAACAGTGTTATCCAACAATATTTCTGAGTCTTACTGATTCCCCACAGCAGCTCTTCCACATCATTACCCATTCTTCTCATAATCCTGTCACCATTCTGCTCGCAACCAGAAGATGACCTGCCACCCCCAACTCCCAACTTCACAGAAAAATAGAGATCTTTATGAACTTCCCTAATTCCTGACACCTCCTTACCCCAAAATAAATGTATCTGTTTCCACATTATCTCCCTCCCACACCTTTCCTCTGATCTCTTACATCTAAGTTCCATTCCTCTGGTTTTGGTTCTCTGCACTCCCACTCTTCAAGGATCTCATTCCATCATTCATTCTCCCCCTCTTGCTTATATTTTTAAACTTCTCCCACCTTTGTGTTCTTAGTGTTAGTATATAATTATTTTCCAGTCTTTGACTTCTTTAAGCAGACATAGCACTGTATCTCTTCACAGAAAAGCTTTATTCTAAAAATGGTTCATACGCGCTGTCTCTTTCTTTATATATATACTAGAGGCCTGGTGCACGAAATTCATGGGGCGGGGGGTGGTCCCCTCAGCCCAGCCTGCACCCTCTCCAATCCGGGACCACTCGGGGAATGTCAGACATCCCTCTCATAATCCTGGACGCTGGCTCCTAATTGCTCACCTGCCTGCCTGGTC